GGCCGGCGGGGGCGCGGAAGGGCGCGGAAGGAGCGCGGCTCCCCGTGCGCACGCCCTGCGCGCTGCAGGACACCACCCCCCCCAAGGTATGAATGAGACCGGTTGGTGGTGGTGGGTTTAGCGGGGGTTTCTGGGGGGCCGGGACACGCGTGGGTAGGGCCGGCCGGGGCACCTGCCGCAGCCCGGGGAGCGGAGGGGCTGGAGGTGTCGCCCGGGGGGTGCCGCAGCCCCCACCCCCCCCGGCCGCACCCCGCTTTGTGCGGAGCCGCCATCGCCACCCGCAGCCGCGGGGGACGCCGAGGGCCGGGGGGATGCGGCGGGGCCTCGGGCATCCCCCGGTTGGGGAAGCCGCTGCTGGTGGCGCCTTCCCCGGGCGGGTTTCTCTCTCCCCCCCGCCCCGTCCCCGGGATGCTCCCGCAGGTAGCTGCAGGGGTAGGGGGGCGTTTGTCCCACAGCCGGCCCCCGGGGGGAGAGGTGGGGGTCTGCAGCGGTCCGGGCTCGGCGCCGAGGTGCGGGGGGAGCAACACGGGGCTTCTTGCCGCTTTTGGGGGGTGGGAGCATCACGCCCCGGGCCCGGGCGTTGCTGCTGGCCGGTCCTGCCAGCCCTGCGTGCCGGAGCGGCGGGTAGCATCTGTGTAACTTCGCTCGGGGTACAGAGAGGAGCCCCCCTCTCCGGCTGTGTGTGTGTGTCTGTGTGTGTGCGTGAGCGGGTGGCTGAATTTCGCCCCTTTGCGCTGGGGTCATGGGGATTTCGGGTGCTCGATGTCAGGGCAGGTCACATCTGGAGCAGGGCACGATGACAGCCCCATGAACGACATCTGGGTGATGCTCTCTGGGCAGCAGGGTCTCCTGGTGCCAGTCCCCCCTCGGAAGGGCTCTTGCTTTTGGGCAGCAGGGCTTTGGAGGGAGGACTCCTTCTCCCCGTGGGTCTGGCTTTGACGCCACGGCTCTGTCAGGGGCAAAGGCAGGCTGTTGTTGCGAAGGGATATGTAATGATGACAGCACTTTGCAAACAAGTCCCCGGTGGCCTGGGGAGGCCAGCTATGTGCAGTGTCTTGCTGAACATCCATTGTTCACCCTGCAGGGAGTGGTGCCCTCCTTGTCTTGCTCGAGAGTGTGGAAAGGCAGTCCTGCAGCATCCCAGCTGTTCCTCATCCCCACCCCTTCACTTACACCTCCTAAGAAGGCACCATGTTTGCTGCAGTCCCTGTAAAGGGAATTTGCCTGGACAGGCTCAACCTCTTCTGGTCTCTTGGGTGGTGAAGGGAAGTGATTGCTGCAGAGGATTCGGAGAACACTTGTGGGGAGGCCGGGTGTTGGTTGCCTTTTAATCTTCCCAACACGGGCTCCCCGGTGGGTTAACAAAGGAGCAGCCTGTGTAGCCCTGCTGTTCCCTTTGTTCTCCCACCGGCTGTGCCCTCTTTGGGGAGCTCAGATCTCTCATGGTTTGATCAGAGATAGAGAATGACTGATGGAGACACGCAGGGAGTTCACGTTTTGGTGGGAGCGTTTCAAGAAACTCTAGAGCAGAGCTTGGGGAGATGGGATAGGGGGGAGCTGGTTGCTTCTTAGAGACAAGGCAAAAAGGAGGTGTTCTCCATGCTAACATTGTTTGGTGAATTAGTGTTATTGCAGACAAGCTACAGCTCTATCAATGAGAGTTACTTCAAATTCATTCAATCCATTAGGCCATAGCAACAAATCAAATCCAGTCATCTCTGTAGAGCTGCTGTAGACCCAGGAAACGCGAGGCCCAGGCTCTGGAGATGTTTGGACAGAGTGCCAGACAATTCTGCTGCCTGCATCCCAGTTCAGCCCCAAGCTCTTCCTGACCTCTCTTCCTCAGAGGCAGAGCAGCTCTGCCGGAGCGTGTGGGTTTTGCCAGGGCAGGGGGAGAAGGAGACCACTGCCCTGTGTGCCGGCTGCCCTGCTCACCTCCGTCCCATTGATCAGACCAGTTGATGGCTGTGTCTCTGCAGCAGGTGGGTTTCCTGACAGCAGGTCAGGGTATCTCCAGATGTGGTAAGTTTCTCACTCTCTTTTCCCCGCCCTGGGCAATTTCTACCTGTCTCACAAGTATGTTGGTTTGTCCCCTCTGAGCAGGTTTCTTGCGTGGGAAATGTCAATAATGGACAGTATTTTGCATGTTTCTGTGCCTGCTACATTTGTTAGCAGCTGGACAGTGAGCGGATCTCGCGTTGCCTGTGTTTTGGGGAGTCTCTTTCTAGGTGGGCTGGCACTGGGCAGGCTGCTGGTCTCTGGAACCCGTTTGTGGTGCCTGTGCAAGGGCAGATCTCCCATGCCTGTGGGCTGTCTGGACTGACAGATGCTCGAGTGCTGTGTGGATGGTGTTTTGGGTATACGCTTGTGTGAGCTGATGCGGGTAGAACGCAGGAACAACCACAAAACCACAGGCTAAGGGCAAAGACCAAGTTTAATCTTCACCCCTTCACTTACACCTCCTAAGAAGGCACCATGTTTGCTGCAGTCCCTGTAAAGGGAATTTGCCTGGACAGGCTCAACCTCTTCTGGTCTCTTGGGTGGTGAAGGGAAGTGATTGCTGCAGAGGATTCGGAGAACACTTGTGGGGAGGCCGGGTGTTGGTTGCCTTTTAATCTTCCCAACACGGGCTCCCCGGTGGGTTAACAAAGGAGCAGCCTGTGTAGCCCTGCTGTTCCCTTTGTTCTCCCACCGGCTGTGCCCTCTTTGGGGAGCTCAGATCTCTCATGGTTTGATCAGAGATAGAGAATGACTGATGGAGACACGCAGGGAGTTCACGTTTTGGTGGGAGCGTTTCAAGAAACTCTAGAGCAGAGCTTGGGGAGATGGGATAGGGGGGAGCTGGTTGCTTCTTAGAGACAAGGCAAAAAGGAGGTGTTCTCCATGCTAACATTGTTTGGTGAATTAGTGTTATTGCAGACAAGCTACAGCTCTATCAATGAGAGTTACTTCAAATTCATTCAATCCATTAGGCCATAGCAACAAATCAAATCCAGTCATCTCTGTAGAGCTGCTGTAGACCCAGGAAACGCGAGGCCCAGGCTCTGGAGATGTTTGGACAGAGTGCCAGACAATTCTGCTGCCTGCATCCCAGTTCAGCCCCAAGCTCTTCCTGACCTCTCTTCCTCAGAGGCAGAGCAGCTCTGCCGGAGCGTGTGGGTTTTGCCAGGGCAGGGGGAGAAGGAGACCACTGCCCTGTGTGCCGGCTGCCCTGCTCACCTCCGTCCCATTGATCAGACCAGTTGATGGCTGTGTCTCTGCAGCAGGTGGGTTTCCTGACAGCAGGTCAGGGTATCTCCAGATGTGGTAAGTTTCTCACTCTCTTTTCCCCGCCCTGGGCAATTTCTACCTGTCTCACAAGTATGTTGGTTTGTCCCCTCTGAGCAGGTTTCTTGCGTGGGAAATGTCAATAATGGACAGTATTTTGCATGTTTCTGTGCCTGCTACATTTGTTAGCAGCTGGACAGTGAGCGGATCTCGCGTTGCCTGTGTTTTGGGGAGTCTCTTTCTAGGTGGGCTGGCACTGGGCAGGCTGCTGGTCTCTGGAACCCGTTTGTGGTGCCTGTGCAAGGGCAGATCTCCCATGCCTGTGGGCTGTCTGGACTGACAGATGCTCGAGTGCTGTGTGGATGGTGTTTTGGGTATACGCTTGTGTGAGCTGATGCGGGTAGAACGCAGGAACAACCACAAAACCACAGGCTAAGGGCAAAGACCAAGTTTAATCTTGATACCTCATGGATCGGGGAACCTCTGAAGCAGCACCCGGGCAGAGGCAGGCAAGCAGGGGATGCAAGCACCGTGGAGCCAGAGTCCTTATTAGCAAGAGAGTCCTTGTTAGCGAGGGAGTGAGAGAAAGCTCCCCCCCACTTGCTGTTTGAGCCTGTATTTCAAGGATTCTGGTGCTTTGACTCTTCAACAGCAGGGCAGGAATCTCAGGCGTGTTGGATAAGGTGCCCCTGAGTCCATCCCAGGCCTGTGTTATCCAAGTGTAGATGCTCTACTTGTTGAGCACACAAAACTAAGCAACAATTAGTGTGATAGATGTGTTTTCCAGCACCCCACATGCTGGAGTCACTTGAGCGTGTTTACAGTCCTCCTTGCCAATCTTCCCTTACTTTCCCACAGCCTGAGTGTGGAGCAGTTCCCTGTTATGTGAACTGCAGGAACCCAGGCACATGAGTGCTTCAGTGTTACAGAGATGTAAGGAGAGAACTGAAGGTTTTGGCTAATCCCCAGAAGTGATGGTGATGTTTTGGAGTGAGAGACAGCTGCCTCAGGGCAAGCTAAGGTAGTTTTTGCACATGGCTTTGCAGGCTCTTCTTATGTTGTTGGTGGTTTGCTGCTTCTAATGTTTTTGTATTCCTTGGTCCTCAGTGGCTGCACAGCATGAAGTCTTCATCCCACCCTGGTGGATCCTCATTTCCACAGCAGAGATTTCAATGGGGAAACTGATGGAGGGTGGGTTGTGACAGGGTCTGACAGAGACCTTCTGTGAAGAAACAGGGTGGATGGGTCAGTTCCTCACCATGCACTCTTGGTTGGTCCCACAGGGACCTCAGCAGAGTCCTGATCCTTAATGGCCAGATCCTGTCCTCCACTCTCCTAAATAAGCTTTCTCTAAGAAAGTTTGCTTGAAGTGTTTGCTTCAACAAAAATAAGCCCTACCACCTCATCTGAGTATTCCCACCTGCCAGTTATAAGCAGCAGCAGTCTTTTTTTGGCAATAAAATGGTAGCCAGTATTAAGGTTGGCCAGCGGGTTGATGTCTGGGTGGCTGCTGAGGGGCTTGCTGCTAAACCTACTGCTCAGACCCACAGGGACCTGTGGAACCGTCCCTGATGAGGCTGAGCAGTGCCTGCTCTTCGAAGCAACTGGGGCTGGTGGCCTCTCTTGATGCACAACAGGGCCACAGGCGATCTGGGTCTCCTGCTCCCATGGCAAGAAGCCACTGGAGCGAGGATGCGGTGAGGTGTTTCACATGTAGTCATTACCTGCCTTCCCTTAAGTGCTCGTCAAGCTGCTCTGGCTGCAGAGAGCTGATGGAGGCAAACAGCCTGCAGCGCTCAGCAATTACGCTGACGCGCCT